GGCGTGGACCGAGGGCGTGAACCCGCCATGAGTTCCGCCCCGGCAAAACAGGGGAGAGGGAGAGAGAGAGGAAAAAGAGGGGAGAAGGGGGGCTAGGAGTGAAGAGATGCTGACAAGTTGTTGGTAAAACGATGAACTGATGAAGAATCATTGAAAAATAAAAAGGATAAACTGAGACATATTATGAAGCCTTCATGCTTCATGTTACATCAGAGCTGATGCATTGATGGAAAAACAGGATTTTGCTGCTGTAACTGGTTGAGTTTAAGTTTGTGTGTTTTAGCTGAAAAGACTGGATCATCCTCTTTAATAGAAAAAAAGATATACACTGCTACAAAGAAACTCTAAAGAGAAATGACTTCATCTAACTGTTTCCTGTAGAAAGGGTGGGGCCTTTGTCTGCCTGTACATGGGGGTTATTTTCAATATTGCACAGTAAAACATTTGAGGTGTGTTTCTTTGTGTGTGCTTTGTGTGTATTACTCCTGGTGTGAGTTTAAAAAAAAACGGCAAAGTGTTAGTATGTAAACAAAAGAGGTTCTTATAATGTGTCACACTCCTTTATACCTTTTTGTTCACATCCAGTACACACCTGCAAATACTTCAGGTAAACACAGACCTCAAAGCTCCTTTGTGCCACTTCCTACGGTGGCCCTGAGAGGCCAAACGGACTGCAACTTCAGAAAACACTTGCAAAAGGAAAAATGCTGCAAAAAGAACAACACCTGCAAAAAGAAAAACACTTGCAAAAAGAAAAACACCTGCAAAAAGAAAAACACTTGCAAAAAGAAAAACACCTGCAAAAAGAAAAACACTCGCAAAAAGAAAAACACCTGCAAAAAGAAAAATGCTGCAAAAAGAAAAACACCTGCAAAAAGAAAAACACTTGCAAAAAGAAAAAACGCTGCAAAAACAAAAACGCTGCAAAAGCACACAAGACACAACAGAAATGTTTCTGGGGAGACAATAACCCGACAGACCAGTTGCACGAACCAAAACATGTATGTATGGCTGTATCCCAATTCAGGGACTGTGTCCCAATTCAGGGTCTGCACGCTTGAAGTACGCGCACTACGCATACTACGCGTGCTACGTACGGTGCGTACTATAAGTACGAGAAGTGCGGAAGTGAGAGGCTTGTGAAATGGGACGGTCTAGCCTTCGTCGCACTGTTCAGGTTGCATAGCAACCATGATACTAACCGCGAGAAACATTACATACAGCTTTGTTTGACAGAAATGAAGGAGAAAAAATGTTTTGTTGGTCATTCATTTTTGTCATGACATCACTTTGATTAGTTGAGTATCTGAGACCACAGGACTGTAAAACATGATAGTTGGGCTTCATTTCTGTACTGAACAGTCATTTCAAGATTAGTTAGTAAATAACAATTAGTTAATGTTGTTCATGAGACTAAAATCATCTCACTGTAGTAATGTAAATATGATATGGCCAATATTATATGTATTGTCAGATTATTATGATATACATATATATATATTATATAAAAACACCC